CTGCTGAAGACATGGCCTTTGCCATTGCAAGGTTTATCCAAAAGGGTGGATCTTTCATAAACTATTACATGGTAAGTCTCTTTCTTTTGAACTTCATTCGAAGTAGAGTATTTTTCCCGGGCAAGGTCGTCTGATACTTACACGGGTTTATTTCATTTGTCATTCTCAGTATCATGGTGGGACAAACTTTGGAAGAACTGCTGGCGGTCCATTTATCGCAACCAGTTATGATTATGATGCTCCCCTTGATGAGTACGGTAAGTGTTTCTTACAACCTCGTGCGTTACAATGCCCGTATCCCATATCATGGTCTTCTTTCATAACAAGTGTTTTTTTTTTCTGTACAGGATTAGAGAGGCAACCCAAATGGGGGCACTTAAAGGATTTGCATAGAGCTATAAAGCTATGTGAACCAGCCTTAGTCTCGGCTGATCCCACTAGAATACCTCTTGGACGATATCAAGAGGTCTCTACAAGTTTTTTTTTTAATCTTTTTTCAATAGCATTTATAGTAATCTTGTTGTGGACAGTTTGTTAACCTTGTGCTGCATTTCTTGCAGGCTCATGTTTTCAATTCGAAATCTGGAGCTTGTGCTGCATTCCTTGCAAATTACAATACAAAATCTTATGCGACAGTTTCTTTCGGGAACAATCACTACAACCTGCCTCCGTGGTCTATCAGTATACTTCCAGACTGCAAGAACACAGTTTACAACACAGCAAGGGTAAAGAATGACGAAGCTTCCTTACTTCCAAGACTCTTTCAATCCAGCTTTTTTTTTTATTATCAGTGAAACAGTTTTCTAATCCAGTGATGATTCATAAGCCTCAAAAAATTGTTTCCCAGTTTCATGAAACTTTTGTGGATTCTTTCCACTTCTTCAAGTGGGTCATGAAAAAAAATTGTCCAATTCTGCACATTTTTCTCTGAAATTTTCACACTTTCCTTGAAGACTATACTCAAGAAGAACAAATATTACGATGGGTTTCGGCTTCAGGTTGGCGCTCAAATTTCGAGGATGAAGATGGTTCAGGTACCTGTCAATGGAGGATTATCTTGGCAGGCTTACAACGAAGATCCTTCGTCCTATGATGAAGAGTCCTTCTCAATGGTTGGATTGTTGGAGCAAATAAACACAACAAGAGATGCTTCGGACTATTTGTGGTACATGACTGAGTGAGTACCGACCTGTCTCGAATTCACATGCATGCAGAAGCATGGCAATGGTGTTGTATATTCATACTGTATGTACATATGTACAATTTTCTTTTTCATTTTTGTTATAATAATTTTCTCGACATATCGTCTCTTTCTTGTTTCCCAGTGTGAAAATTGATGCCAATGAAGGATTCCTGAAGACTGGGAAGTATCCCACTCTTACCGTCTTATCAGCAGGCCATGCTTTGCATGTCTTCGTCAATGGCCAGTTATCTGGTGAGTACAATGTTTGCTAGTTTTTCTTTTTGAGTTATTGTATGGCTGATCTTTTTCTTCCGACATGTTCATTGTCTCTCTGCCCAGGAACTGCATATGGAAGTTTGGACTTTCCCAAGCTAACATTTAGCGAAAGTGTGAATCTTAGAGCCGGTATTAACAAGATCGCGTTTCTAAGCATCGCTGTTGGTCTCCCGGTCTGTCCTCTTTACTTCGACCCGTTTCTTGATTTTATTTCTTTTCTTGCTTAACATTGAGTTTTCACTTAGATATTTCGATGTCTTTTTCGGGCACTGTTTCAGAATGTCGGTCCACATTTCGAGAGATGGAATGCTGGTGTTCTCGGTCCGGTTTCTCTGAACGGTCTGAACGAAGGAAGGAGAGATCTTTCATGGCAGAAATGGACATATAAAGTACCGAACTAGAGAGATGATCTTTAACCTGCTGTTATTGCATCATTTCCTTCTCGTCTCCTGACCGTTTACCCGCAATTGCTCATCCGTTTTCAGGTCGGTCTCAAAGGAGAGGCTTTGAGTCTTCATTCGCTCAGCGGGACAACCTCTGTCGAATGGGCGGCAGGTGCATTTGTGGCACAGAAGCAACCGCTTACTTGGTTCAAGGTATAACCACTTATTTCGGTTAATAACTGAATAACCGAATCGAATAACACATAACCGCATTCTGAATCGAATCCGGTACAAAACAAATTGGAAATTTTATAGATGCCATACTTCTTCAATGTATATAAACAAGTTGGTAATGGCTTGATAATTTTCTCTATGGCTTGTTCAGACTACTTTCTCTGGTCCAACCGGGAATTCGCCGTTGGCTATAGATATGGGAAGCATGGGAAAGGGTCAGATATGGATCAACGGGCAGAGCCTCGGGCGATACTGGCCTGCGTATAAAGCATCCGGTTCTTGCAGCGAGTGTTCTTATGCCGGTTCTTTCGATGAGAACAAATGCTTGCGAAACTGTGGAGAGGCTTCTCAAAGATGGTAACAAGCTGTTAATTTAATACAATATAAACTTTCCTCTAGTTACTAGCAATGTGCATACTCGAGATTTTCAGGAGAACCAAGCTTCTCCGTGTCTGACCTTTTTGTGTTCATAGGTATCACGTTCCACGTTCGTGGCTGAAACCGAGCGGCAATCTATTGGTCGTGTTTGAGGAGTGGGGAGGGGACCCGAACGGGATATCGTTGGTTAGAAGAGAAGTGGACAGCGTGTGTGCTGATATCTACGAGTGGCAGCCTACGTTGATGAACTATGAAATGCAGGCTTCTGGAAAAGTTAACAAACCGTTGCGTCCGAAAGTGCATTTGCAGTGTGGCGACGGACAAAAGATGAGCGCCGTCAAGTTTGCGAGCTTCGGCACACCCGAAGGGACCTGCGGAAGCTACCGCGAAGGAAGCTGCCACGCTCTCCACTCCTACGACGCTTTCAACAGAGTAAACCCTCCAATCTTCTCTCATTATGAAATTCGTTTCCCGTCGTTATAGGGGTTGGAAGCGGGTCGGGCACCCAGCCTTGGCTACCCGAGCTGATCATAGGGGTATAATGGTAATTTTACACGAAATTACCTATAAAAACATGTGGTGTAAACTGTCGTTTTTCATATGCGAACCCGTGATCCGGGATCCTCGTCCTGTCCCGCAGTCTAGGCGCCCGAGAACCGGCGGGTGTGGGGTTCTAACCCTTGTTTCCCAGTCGAACTTGGGATTTTTGGTGTATATGTAGTAACAGAAGTGCGTGGCAGGTGTGTGTGGGGCAGAACTGGTGCTCGGTAACAGTGGCGCCGGAGATGTTTGGCGGAGACCCTTGTCCCAACGTCATGAAGAAACTCGCGGTTGAAGTCGTTTGCTCCTAAAACCAAGAAACAAAACTCAAACTGTACATGGTTTATCAGTTAAGAAAAGGACGCGCCTTGGCATTCTCACGACACATTCTTATTATTGTTATTGTTTTATGTTCTTATGAAGAATTAGCCGATTGGGCTTTCCTCGCGGTGGAAGTTGTACAAAGGAAAGAACAGGAAACTGCAGATAGGTCCAGGCTGAAATGTAAACAAGGTGTGGAGGGCTGAAGAAGCACATTTGAGGCAAGACCAGAGAGCCCATGTCATGTCTGGATTCTTCTTGGTTTAGGACGATTCCTTTCTCTGTTGTTTGTAACTGAACTGAAGATCACACTGCGCAATCTTCTCATTTGCCAATTGCCAGGTTCATTATGTACGTGCAAAATATATACAGGCGGTATGTGCAAAACTTAATCGAAATTACTGAAACATGAACATATAATTCCATTGGGAAAAAAAATGTTTATAAAAATCGAATTCAAAAAACATCAACCTGTCAAAAACTATATAAAAAAATAAAGTTAAAAAAAAAAGAGAATAATGGAATCAAAATATAACAAAAACCCGGAAAAGGAAATTGAAGCAGGCATAATTTGTATCAACAAAAGACTTTCCATAGAACAAACACCGAGAAAAGTTACAGCCTTTTCTCTTTTTTTTTCACTTGTTACAAACTTTATACTGAGTAAAAGAGAATGCCTACAAACCCCACATGACTCAAAAAGATTTCATCTTTCTTACCGATTTCGGTTTTTGTTCTCTCTCGAGACTCTAATCAATCGATCTTCACCGACGAGTAGATCTTCCTGACGAACCAGAAGCACGCGTAGAACCCTACCGTGCCCGTCACGACAAAGAAAGCATAAGAGATGATGATCATGTACCCGAAATAGAGTATCCCCGACACGAATTTCGTTATCTCCAGCTTCGTGAAGAAGTAGAAAACCGAGTACAGGAATAGGTATACGGCCGAGGATCCTGCCGTCAGGTAAGATCTCCACCACCAGTTGTAGTCTTCGCTGCAAAGCTGGAAGTAACAAAGCACGATCGTGATCTCTGCGCAAGTTACCATCAATATAACAAAGACGATGAAGAGGAACCCGAAAATGTAGTAGAATTGGTTCAGCCATATGGAGGTGAGGATGAAGAATAGCTCGATGAATACGGCACCAAACGGAAGGATGCCTCCTATCAGTATCGAGAAGACGGGTTTCATGTACCACGGCTGTTCGGGTACTTGTCTCGGGATCTTGTTTGTCTTGACCGGGTCTTCGATTGCTGGCTTCTTGTAACCCAGGTAGCTCCCGACAAAGACTAATGGGACCGAGATACCGAACCAGAGGCAGACAAGAGCAAACATTGTCCCAAAGGGTATGGCTCCTGAAGACTGCTCTCCCCAGATGAGAGCATTCAGAACGAAGAAGATTGCAAAAAGGATACCGGGAAACATGAAAGCCGTCTTCAAGGTGATTCTCTTCCACTCTGTACCTTTGAACATCTTGTGAAGACGGGATGAGGAGTAACCGGCAAATATGCCCATGAAAACCCACAGGAGTACCATTGCAGTCATAAGCCCTCCTCTGTTGGATGGAGACAAGAAACCGAGCAAAGCAAATATCATCGTCACAAGTGTCATTCCGAATATCTGAACACCTGTACCGACATAAACGCATAGCAAACCCGATTTGACTGGTGGCCTGAAGACATCTCCATGTACAAGCTTCCACCCGGTTTCTTCCTGAGCCTCATCTTGGGTTTCCAGCTGATTGTAGTTTGAGATATCCTTGTATAGAGTTCTCATCATTATCATGGCTACCATGCCAGAGAGGAATAAGACAATCATCAACGAGTTTATGATGGAAAACCAATGGATTTGATCGTCATTCATTAGAAGGTACGTGTCCCAGCGAGAAGCCCATTTGATTTCACTCTCCTGAATATTCAAACACAAAAGGATATGTTAGTAGAGAAAACAGCGAGGCAAACCGTCAAAGTAGTATAAAAGATAAGTTACCTTAAATGTGACATCATATGTAAACACAACTTCTTTCCCTTCATTAACTTCTACAGGAACAGTATTGCTCTGGATCAGAGTCTTTGTATCCTTGTTGCACGTCGTTAACTGAGGGTTCTTTTCATCCCACTCTTTGTATTCATGAAGGATACTGCTCGAAAAAGAAGAACCGTTAGCTTGTAATAGTCAGAAAACATACAATATTCCAAATAATAAAACAGATAAATATCTCTTCCACTGATGAAAAAGGTCCGGCCATAACTAGATAGACACACATTAAAATGATTCAATGAAAGACAATCGACGTAATAACCACTAGGCAATACCTGCTAGGGGTAACCTCAAATCCAACAATTCGAGCAGAATCAGATTCTTGATCTCTGTGGTACATAACTCGGAAGCTCAAGTGGTTATGGATAAAATATTTCTCCTCTTTGCTCTACAAAAGCCAAGGGACTACTTACAATTGGTATGGAAAGGTTAAAAGACTTTAAGGTTGCAACCATAGGTTTTAGAAGCATACCCCTTCATAGCTTCCTTTGAAACCGACACGGAAACCGTGCTCGTAAGTTGTTGACTGACTTCCATCTCTTCTTTGTCTAAGAACAGCTACTGGAAGATTATCAAGAATCCTGTACAACCGTTTGTGGTAAGATGGCAGATAAATGAAAATTATTTCATGTGATAAGAGTTTCTCAAGCTAATTGGAGACGAAAACACAGTATTGAATAATTCCAGATGAGCATATAAAGGAATGCTCCACAAACACATACACACAAATACAGGAATGATTTGCTCACAACTTACATATTGACCCGGTATTCATCATCAATCTTTTCCTTGAAATTTTTTGCAGACTCGACATCAAGTGTTTCTCGGCAAGCAACTTTGCAGGGTTGGTCCTCCATCATTTCAAACTGGAAAAAGTTTCGCAGCGTCAACTTTCACATGGTGGCATTAAGGTGTAAAGATATACAGGAAGCCGTTCAGGATATTCAAAGTCTAACAATAGCTATAATACAGAGAGAAAACATTTTACTTACAGTATAAACTGAATTTTCAATGCGATCCCCTCTGAGGACCTCCCCCAAATTTTCAGCGTTGTTCAGAATCTTGGAAGGCTTACAGTATTTCAGGTAGTAGTAATCATATGGAAGTTGAGTCTTCGTAGATGACAGTTTGTTCACTTTGACATGAAGCGGATCACCCTGCTCCAGATGGAAAGTCAGTTCATTATCAACAGAAACCAGATTTACAGACAAAAAGTTCTTTCGTCCAAGGAGGAACGGAAAAATCACAAGCTTGAACTGCAGATTCCCAGGTCTAAAAATGATAGAGCTCAAAAAGAATCACTGATAACAGGGTAAAATGTTCTAGCTCTGTATTCACCAATTGCATCTGATCAGGATTTCCATAAAATTTATGAGCACATCTGTACATGGCTAAAATCCTGCCTCCTTGTCTTCCAACATAAGACAAGGACAAAATTGCAATAATTATACTAATAAATTCAGCCCAGAAATAGATCATCAGACAGATTCAAGGGTCTAAAAAACTAAGAACTCAATATGATCCTCCACTACCACCAACTATAAAACACCCCTTTACATACAACAGGATATCGCCTTCATTTGCGCAAGCATGAACCGAACCGGGAGGAAATCAAGCTACAATTTCACTAATTCGTTTCAACTCGTCGGTGAATCGGACGTAAAAACTCATCAACTCCGCTGAACAGTGGCTACAGACAGAAGCGGACAAAAGAGAAACCGAAATTTCCACAGATCTATGCGAAATCACACACCACAACAACGAATCTGACACCAGAACCCTAGATCGCTCTCTGTATCGATTCAAACGTGTAAGAGAAAAGGAAAAAAAGAGTACCTTCTGGAAATCGCGAGGAGCGACACCGGGAAGGTAGAAGGAACGAGCAGTGGAGAACAAAAGGAAAACGATGAAGACAGTGCCATAGACTCTACAGCTACTTCCCATCTTCTTCTTCTTCTTCTTCCTCTCTCTCTCTCTTCCCCCTTATTGCTTTTCCGTGTAGTGGAGCTTTTTCAGATGGAAGTCGCCGGAGAAATGCAGAGTGCAAGAAGGCGTGGAGAGTTATTTATTAAACAAAAACGGAAGAGAAGAACGACGTCGTTTTCGTGCACCTGTTTTTGACATGCTCCGTTATATTTTAGGCCGTGTTAAGGAATTCGTCTTAATTCAAAACGCAGCGTTTTGTCGTCCAAGTCAGCGCTAAATTCAAACAGGCTATGCACCTTGAAAAATCTCGACTCCATGGAACTCGAAGGCGAAGACGGGTCGAAGCTCATTCTCAAGGCGGGTGCGAATGCCGTGTTTGGAAGAGGAGCAGGATTCGAAACCGAAGACTTGACGGTGTCGCGCCGTCACGTCTCCTTCGTGCTCGAACCCGCCGCCACTGCCGACGGAGCCGAACCATCAGCTAGGGTTTCGTTTGAAGTTGTCGGGAGGAATCCGATCTGGGTAAGGTCCCGGACAACAAACGAGAAGATCCGAACTTTCCGGAAATCTGATACGGGCGAGATCTATGCCGGCGATAGATTCTGCGTCTCGGGTCGACGACCCGTTTGGTTCATTTTGAAGAGACACGATGACGTTGCGGAAGAGAGCAGTTCGGAGGGTGAAGGTGGGCTTGATAGTGTCGATGTCTCGGAAATCGATCCCGTTAAAGGTAATGACTTTCTACTTTTGAGTTTTGACATTGACCAAATTCGTTTGCTTTCGATGCGTTACTGCTTAAAACTCGAGCAGAGTCTTTGGTTGAAGTTCTGATAAACGTCGAAATTCTGAACCTTTGTTCTATTTTGATCAAACGAAATGTCGATCATTATTGGGTCTTACAATGAGTTCGTTTTTGAAATCTGGGTTTAGTTGGCATTCTTACTGTACTGGAACATTCCGCTTGCATTCATCTGATGAGCTTTGGATAGTGGTACCTGGTGTTTGAAAATTTCATATCTGGATTCTGGATTGCTAATGTTCTGGGTATTGCAGAGTTTGGATTTCTTGTGATCGGGGGAGAATTCGATCAGTACCCAAAGAACTGGGTGCGTGACGTAAAGAAATGGGAGTGGTTCCTTGAAGACACCAAGAACAAAGGTGGTGATGATGATGATAATGATGATGATGATGTGGTTGAAGGCAAGAAGGGAAGGAGTGGATTGGGGAGAAAGAGAAGGAGAAAGAAAGGGAATGAGGATGAGGACGGGACTGGGGATATCCAGGAAGAAGATCGAGAGGTAATGGCGAAAACGAGTAGGGCTCCAGGTCCAACTTACTCAACCAGATCTCGGGAGCCGAAGAAAGATGCGAGGAAGAGCAGAACTAACAGAGGGCAAGCCAAACGGGGAAGGGTAGATGCCGAAGAAGAAGAAGATGACGATGACGAAACATTGGGAGGTTTCATTGTTAGTGATGAAGAAGCCGAGTTAGAAGAAGAAGAAGAGGAAGAAGAAGAGGAAGAAGAAGAAGAAGACGAAGATTTTGATGAAGATGAAGTCGATGACGAAGTGTAGCAGGGGGACGAGACACGAATATACCCGATCTGTTATCGCCTGTATCATGTATGTATCTCCAGAACAAGAATCTTGCTTGTTTACTTGTAGATACGTTTTTGTCTAAAGGATTCGAGATGGAAGTTTTTTTACCTTTTGTATGGATGAATCTTGTGAGTGCTGTGAAACGACGTCGTAACGGCCGTTCTCTCTCCCGGGAACGACGTCGTTTCCGTTTTGCCGTTTAAGCTGTTAATGCCTGCGCACTAGCATCCACGTTTTTCATCGGCACGTGTGAACAACATTCACACGTGTGGAATAAAAAACCCGGGAAGTCTTCCCCTCCCCTTTTTCCGTCTCCATTTTCTCTCTCGTTTTCTTCGTCGGGAAAATTTCAAAGTTTCTCGCTATCCAAACACCCTCCGGATAATGAAGGAAAATATGAGCAGTGAGAAAAGCATCGCAATCGTCAAACATGACAATGGCGAGGTCTCCTCTGATCTTCCTGCAGCTGCCGCAGGTAATTCTTTAAGTGCTTTGTTAAAATGACCCCTCATTTTCCCGGAACCTCTCCGTGATTCCATCGTGAATCATGAAGTTTCCCTCTCTTTCCCGGGAAAACATTAGATCTATGAACAACAACGGAAAAAGCCTCGAGCTTTCTGATTTGCTTCCGTCACCAGTAAATCCCCTGTTATCTGTATTTGTTAATGAAATCAATCTCAGCGATAAGCATCTAACGGCACATTTCGATCATTTTTGGATTCTTTCCGGATCATTTAGCGTACAAACTGCACATGAGTTTCGACATTTCACCTGAGATTGGTGGTAAACCCAGTTTAGATTCGATTGAATCGGTTTCTTGTGTTTCGCAGCTCTTAGCCCAGAGGATCGTGCTGATCTTCTTAATGCACTCAAGGCAAGTTACTTTGAATCATTTCTACGCCGTTTTATCAAACCCGTTTCACGTTTTTCATCCATACAAACAGACAATTACATTCACCGTAAGCTTCTCTCCGTTCATGTCTGAATAGGGCAAGCTCCAGAGCCTGGCCCGAAAAAGAACAGATTTTCTGAAAACTCTCACGCCTAAGGTTCAGAAACGTGTACAGGTTCTGAAGAACATGCAGGTGTTTTCCCTTTCTTCTGGATCCTATAATCCGTTCGACAAATCCATGCTTGATTGATTCAGAATGCTGATTATGGCCAGTTGCTGCTGCGTGATTCAGGTTGAGCACGATGAACTAGAGGCAAAGTTTCTTGAAGAGAAAGCGGACTTAGAGGCCAGATACGAGAAGCTCTACGAGCCACTTTTCACAAAGGTAACTCGCATCCGAAGTAAACGTCATCTTTCGGTTTTAAGTATAGTTCCCGAAATTTCGCTGATAACTTGCAGAGATACGAAATCGTAAGTGGCGAGGTTGAAGTCGAACTAGAACAAGCTGAAGATGTGGTGAAAGGATCAGACAAGGACAAACGAGGTTTCTTTTATCAGTTCTTTGTCTCTGAACAAATTCTACAGAATCGTCTTCTTGAATTCTGTGTGTCAAAACTCATAAGAATCTTGTTGCAGGAAAAGGAGTGCCCGGTTTCTGGTTGAAAGCTATGAAATCCAATGAGATCATCGCCAACGAGGTTCATAAAACCGCATTCCGGAATCAACAGATTCAGCGATTGTTCGATGTAAAACAAAGATTAAAAAAAATAGTCGGTGAGGTTTCTCTCGTTTGGTTGTTAGATAACGGAGCGAGACGAGGAAGCGCTGAAGTATCTGAAAGACATCAGATGCCGCAGGCTGGACAGATCAAGAAGCTTCAAGCTGGAGTTCTTGTTTGATCCTAACAACCCTTACTTCAAGAACTCGGTCCTGACCAAAACGTACCATTTGGTGGATGATGATGATGGTGATGGTGATGATGGGCATGTTCTTGAGAAAGTGACCGGGTAATATACCAAATCCGGCGACTGCATTACTCTCTTCTTTTCGATTTTCGTTGTTCAATCTCCCTTATTAACGTTGCATCTGTTAGAACGGAGATAGAATGGAATCCGGGAAAATGCTTGACGAAGAAGAAGGTTGTAAAGAAGAAGCCGAGAAAAGGCAGCAAGCCCGTGACTAAGAACGAAAACTGCGAGAGTTTCTTCAACTTCTTCAAGCCGCCCGAGATCGATGAGGACATCATAGATGATTATGACGATGTTGAGTTCGATATGGTAAAAACCTCGGAGGGTTCTAGTTCATCATCATCATCATCATGCTCGTATTTTCTTCGCTTTCATCATGACGAAACATAATGTGAACTTCCTTGCAAAAATCATTACAGGCTGAAGAACTACAGAACCTGATGGAACAAGACTACGACATCGCGTAAGCTATCTATGGTTTTCATTTTTCACACCGATGATGAGTTTAATTCCCGTTTTTTTTTTTAAGGGTGTCGATCCGGAAAAAGTTGATTCCACATGCTGTTTCATGGTTCACCGGAGAAGCTCTCCGTGAAGATGATGATGAATGATGAAGATGATGATGAATGATGATGATGACGATGATGATGGTGATGATAAGTAAACAAGAATGGTGTAGACGGAATGGATAGCAAATCTTTTTTTTTTTGTGTTTGTGAAATTTATACATTTGAGAGCTCTGCAGTTCAAGACCATTCGAGGGGATGATGCTTACTTACATTTTCCACCACATACCATAAAAGATTTTTTTTTCCGATGTCTTTCTCGGTTTAGATTTAATTGTAAAATAAATTATTATTCGCTTTGAAAGTTTGAACATCTTAGGAAACTATGTTATCTTTCTTGCAAATCAACATCATATATTGTTACTTGTTTTATGGTTGATGAATTGAAATTGTGTAATTATAATTTATAGTTGGAAGACCACTATTTAGAGATTTTGGGGAGTGGGCGTTTTTTTTTGGTAACCAAGTGTATTAAACCGAGATTCATACTAATCTAGGGATCGGGAGTAGTAGTATAGTTATTGTGTTTTTATTTATAAATCTGTTATTTTTTATTTATATTATTATTGTTATTACTATTCAATAACAAATTCGAAAGAAATAGGCGTCTAATCATTTCCATTTTATTTCACTAAACGGGTCTCTATATATATATATATATATGAATATTAAATTAAAGTGTTAATGGTGATTGGTACGTATAGGATCATATGTTGATGTGGGCAGTCTTCATGTTCCAAGCACTTAGGGTCGAAAGACGAACACTTTGGGAGCCTCTGTTGAAAACGTAGAGATGGGAACTCTCTCCGATCGCCATCTTCGGATACACTCTTGATGTTATGCACGCCTTCCCTCTCCCTCCATAGCTCTCCACTATCGAATGATCAATCTATCATCATCATCATCACCATCATTATCATCATCATCATCATCATCATCATCATCATATAACATATGTACAACTTAACTTACCAAGGTCCGGAGAGAGATAGGCTGGTAAGAAGGGTTGATATCCACAAATGCCCCGTAAGTCGTTCTATCGTTGTTTTTGTTCAACGACGACCTATCAAATGAATTCAAAATTCATTTAAAAAAAAAATCAAAAGGATATTATAGGTCGGAGAAATATTGGATATTGAATATTTTTTTTTTTTACATAAGCAAATCATGCCAACAATAATGGGTTTACTTTAACAAAGTCTACATACGTAAACAAATTCATAATATTAATAACAACAACAATATGTTGAAAAAACATAAACAAATTAAATAAAATGTATTTTACCAAAAAAAAAAATTAAATAAAATGTTCAACCATGAGAAAAAACTTCAATGACTCATAATGTGAAAATTAAAATTCCAAGGAGTAATTATTTTACGGATCTTTGATTAATATTATAGAAACGTAACCTGCTTTGGTCGCTGCACATCACCACCACGTAGCCGTCGCTATCATTACGTGCTTTGAAGATTCTGAAATAGACGGACGTGTACTCTTCCAGGTTCTTCGAGGCAAGAACCATTAAACCGAATGGCCCTAAACCGGTCTTAACCGATTCATTTTCTTGACTGCATATCAATTGTGCGTCGGTCCAACCCGGTTCGATCGGGTCCGCTTTTTCCAAGTCTCGCGCTTCGAACGAAACCTCCACATCAGCCTGTCCCATTAGTTGAAACGAACAAATAATTAAAATCTTAGCAAATCACGTCAGAAATAATCAAAATAAAATTAAAACAAACCAATATATATACATATATATATATGTATCAAACCTGTGAAGCTGTAATGCCATGAACTTCAAGAATAGATCCTTTCTCCATCAACACTTTGTTACGCCATTTCACTTGCTTCGCACGCAATTTCTCTATTTCCATAATCGGCCATTGTATCAATTGCTTCCCCGATCCACCCAGCCATATTTTCCTTGGAATCGCCTACCAAAATATTTCCATGCAATCATATAAAACAAAATAGTTAAATGAAATGTTATGCATGCATATATATATATATATATATATATATAAATACCTGTAGACCGGACCAACCCTTCTCGATATCATCTTTCTCCGGCGAGGACTCGTTGACCCAGCCCCACAATATCCTCCGTCTAGTCGCCGCGTCGAAGAACGTTTTCGACGCGTAGAATTTCCCGTAGTCGAACCTCGGAGCCGAACGGTTCCGCACGAAACCCTTGTCCGGGACGTACACGTCTCTCGTGCGGTCATACGTCCCGACCGTGTAACAGTCGTGCGCCAACTCGGCTACGCTTATTTTGAGCACGTGTTTAACCCTCGGAGCCGTACCGAATGACGACGTATCGATTCCGGTCGACCCGGACCGGGCCACCGGGAAAAAATCTGGGCATTCCCACACACCGGTTCCGTCGTCCGAGTGCAACGGCTCCGGCGACTTGACCCAGTTGATGAAGTCTTTGCTCTTGTATAGAATCGCTAGTCCACGTCCACGGTCCATTTTGCTGCCTGTTTCGGTTATAAAACTACTTAATACTGTTGGGTGACAAGAATTAAGGAATCATGATTATTTTTTCTCATTAATCAAACCATCATATATATATATATACATATATATGTATGTATGTATGCACTAACGAATTTTGGTCTCAAGAGCGGGTTTAACCGTGCCCGTAGTGACTGCGGGTTCCACGTTATAAAAAAGGGTCTCGCAGCAAACTTCCAAAAAAATATAGATATATTCGTCTGTATCTCTCCCCTACTGCTATGATGGCCATGTCAGTTCGGTAATGCAAAATTGAAAAGAATTATGTATATATGTGTTCTTATATTCCATATAAAGCCTTAATTGTTGATACTTTTTATAATTCAAAAATGAATCCTAATGGATATAAATAAATAACAAAAAAATAGAAAATTTCTTTGGAGAAAGAAAAATTTATTATATAAAATTCCAATCCAAAATGAAATTGAATTGAATAAAATCTAATATAAAAATCGAATGGATAAAATTTTTCTAATACCCAAAAAACTAAATAAAAAAATAACCCGAAAACTCTACCCATATCTCTAATATTGATATCATCAAATTTTGGGGTATGAATTTCTTAATATTAACATGTTATGATATTGATACCTATGATAACACGCCAGTGTCCATCGTGACCTAGCCAGGCAGTGGTGGGGTCCCGGAAGTTGTCGGGGTCGATGCCGTTATCGGCGGTCGGAGCCAAGAGGGGGTTTTCCGGTGACTTGGACCATTCCCGGAGAAATGGGTCGGAGAGGTTCTTGGGGACGGCTAGGTTTTGGACTTGCCGGTTCATGTGGTCCATGCCGGTGTAGAAAACTACGGGTTTGCCCCCTGGGAGGATCGTGGCGGAGCCGGCCCAGCAGCCGTTGATGTCAGACGGCTGAGACGGAGATATCGCCGGAGGGTGTCGGACCCAGTTGACGAGGTCCGTTGACGTGGAGTGACCCCATACGATGTTCCCCCAGACGGCGCCGTTTGGGTTCCATTGGTAGAACAAGTGGTAAATTCCTTTGTATAACATTGGTCCTGCGTAACACACATGTATGTATGTTCTCATGATCATCATCTCCTTCGTTTTTTTTTTTTTAAATGGAGCGTTTTTTATAACATATTCCATTAATTGATGACAAGATCGTTGTAATAAGACATAATATATTAAAATCATTATCTGTTAATGGTAAAACAAAATACAAGAGAAGAAACTAACCATTTGGATCTGCTCATAACGATCACGGCCAAACAGTACCCATTTTGTCCGATTTCACCAAGAAGAGAAACAAGAATTGTCATATATATATATAATGTATGGATCATAAACAGAAATTAACCCTAATGAAGCAAGAGAGATGGGTATGGTTGTAATTACCATTCATCCAATTTTTGGGAGGTTGGAAATGATAACCGGTCCGGTACGGCTGGTTAAGGGCATGAACATGCATTGAGGCATCAAGATGAACGACATAGTTACCAAATAACATCCACAAGAACATTAAGAAGCCAATGTCCATTGTGTTCTTCCGTTCTTGGAGGATTTTTTTTTTGTATTGATTTTGTCTGGAAATAAATGGAGGGGGTCCAATTTATAGGAGAAGGACCTGTGGCCTTTAGAGGTGGTGTGGGTCAAGCTTATATATGATTGAATATTACGATATATATATGCGTATTACCCATATATTTCTTTATTAATATACATACAAAAAATATATATATACGAATAACTAAAAAAAGCTTACTATTGATATCTTATTAGGATTTTTACTTTTAAATGCGCAGATTTTTTTTTAAGAAAGCGGAATTCCACTTTTAAACTCTTTATTCATCCTTTTCTTTTCCTAATTGCATTTCCATTTTCCAACAGTGTTCTCTTTTTCACACTTCGGAAATTCCCCATTTTTTCGATATATAGTATATATATCATTTAAATACTGGTAATTATTTTGATTTTAATATATAAAATAATTTAAATCCGACTCACAGTGATGAATTTAATTCAATTCAAATATAACACACACAAATAACGAAACAAAATATAAAAAAAAACTTTTGTTCAAAAGATGTATTTTTTAAAATCAAAATCGTATCCAAAAAGTAGATACAGATAAAACTCAATTCAAATTAAAACTTAACAAAAAAATCTATAACATATATTTTTTTCAAAAAATTTAATTTCTAAAAATAACCAAACCCTAAACTAAAATACCCATCTGTAATATAAACTAGACTTGTTATACATCAAATGACTTCACCTATTTGACAATATACACGCACACATAGCCTAACTTTATGTGACAAATACAAAAAATTTATCAACACTTTTGTGCATGTACCTACCTATATATATATATATATATATTTGTATATATGTGTCTGCTCAAATGCTTGTTTTGCATGAATGAGATAAAAGTCTATTCATCATGTTTAGTTTTTAGAGGAAAAAGTATTATTCCAAAATTCAAACTCAACTTACTTCCTACATTATACCCAAAAAAAAACTTACTTCCTAAAAATAATTAAATTTAATACGAGTAATTAAGGCTTGATTTATTGTGTTTTCTAATTAACTGAGAATATAAAAAAAATGTCAAATTTAATTTTGTATACGCCAAGGAGGGTGGATTAAGTTTAGGAAATTTACACCAGAAAGATCCATCTGATTAATCTTGAACTATCTTTGAATTTGAAAAATATCCCAAGAGAGACCAAATGGCTTGCCCACTTTACTTCACTTTAATCATAATCTCATATCATTTCATCCATTCTCTCTCTCTCTCTCTATCTCTTTTTACATTAATCATTTGTAACAAAACAACATGTCGTGCCACGCATTCTAGTTATGAAAATTAATGCCAAACATACCAATCTTATTACTATTTTATTTTATTATTCTTATTTTTGTAAAATTACAAAAAAACCCTTAATTTTACATAATTTATCGGCTACAAAATCAGAAGTTATGAAAAGAATTACATACATACATGCATACATGCATACATGCATACATATTTGTGTTTTGTGAATGTGAGGTGGGAACTTACCATGGTCATGAGAGATTACCCTATCAATGAAAGCACCTTAAATGACTTGTATCATTGTTTGTTCCACAGATCTGTCCAAAAGAACATCACCACTTAGCCTAGACATTTCATCTCTTTATGTTTTCCTTGTTTCTTTTTCCCTTCAGATTCTCAATGCTATAATTCAGATTTTATGTTGATTTTAAATTTGTTTTGAGTTTTATTGAATCCGGTTTTTATTGTTACAAAATATGATTTTTCCTACAAACAAATTCGTTTTCATTTCGAATTTGATTCATATATTTTTTTTATCTAATCATTTTTATACGAAACTCGATGGTTTTTATTACATACTAGAATAGAAATATTCGACCTACCTCAAACATTATATTACATATATATATATATATACATATTAATTATAATAGAGAGAAGTATTGGAATTATAAGTATGAATTTCCAGTGGGCATTTATTAGGGGCATTAATTATAGAAACGTACCTGCTTTGGTCACTGCACTGTCTGCACATGACCACCACATCCTCAACACTCTGAAATTGACAGATTTGTACTCTTCCAATATTTTTTTTTAAAAAAAAATTATTTTTATTTTTGCCAATTTATTAGGCTAACAATGAATTAAGTTGCTATTTCCAGTAAAAATGTTGGGCTTTTTTCCCTTTTATTTTGTTTTCTATGGGCCTATTGGGTTCTTAGCGATAAAAAGAGGGGTTTGGGCTAACCTCTCGACGTACGGACGAGCATCGACTAAAACGACGCCGTGTTCCCTCAATCGTCCGTACGACAACTCGCCTTTCTACCAACGGAGCCAAGCCAACCAGCCAAAATTGTCCTCTGGAAGGACAGCACCCCATTGTGTACCTACCGATTCCCTGGATTTTAACCCAATCGGATTCTACAATGGCGGCTTTTTCAGCGATTCTGTCTATGGGTATCGGAGCAATTCGCCCGTCGTATCCCTCTCTGTCCTCCTGTTTGCAACCGCTCCGGCACCAGACGTCTCTTCTCCGCTGTCCCCGGCTCGTCTCGAGAAACGAGAGGTCTTCATTGAAGGGGATCCTTCAAGCCTCCCCCCAGTCCAGTATGTGTCTGATCTTACCTCGTTTTTCTTGTGTTATTGCTCAAAATCGGAGCTCTAAGGTTGCTGTTTCCCCTTAAACATGATCGTTTTCACTTGGGTTTGCATTGTATTTGAATATATGCGCCTTAATCGCATCTACGGGTGTGATATGCGAGGTATGTTTCTTCAGGTTTTGTGTTTAGATTGCCTATGTGCTTGAAATTCTGAAGCTACTTACGAGGTTTGATAGATCATTGTCTGGAATTCAGAGTTCCTGATACCTGTGGAAGCCAATTGATTCTCTTTTGAAGTAACAGAATATCTTTGAATCATATCAAGCATAATTTGGCTTTAAATGGTTGTCATAAAATTTCTAGAAGCTTGTGTTTCAAGACGATGTGGTGCCTTTTTATCACTGTATAGTAGCATTATACATACCTGTGATATATTGATTCAATTCCGTGTATTTTAGATTATGCAAGTGCCGATGCATCGGAGAAGTCGCCCGAAGAACAATCTGAGATTATATTTATGGGGACTGGAACTAGCGAAGGGATTCCTCGTCTCAGCTGCTTGACTAATCCTCTGAAAACATGTCCGGTATTTTGTCCATTGTCTGTATCAAAGTTCCATTTACGAAATTTCGTAAGATCAAGTGCTATAATTGCCCTTTTCGATTCTTTAAGGTCTGCACAAAAGCAACGGAACCTGGAAACAAGAATAGGAGACTGAACACCAGCATCCTGGTCCGGTACGTCAGACCATCTGGAACAAGTAACATACTAATTGATTGTGGCAAGTAAGTGGAATTATACAAAAATGGCTTTCATTTCTTCTTCTAACATGTTTTTCTTTTATTTGTTGCTGAATTTATGATCCCACTGCGCTTGACAGGTTCTTCTATCATAGTGCCCTTCGATGGTTTCCCCTCTTCGGGTTAGTTGCTTCTCATCGGTTGGCGAATATGATCCAATCTCAGAGTTATTGCTCTATCGATTTTTTAACTGTTAGTCAGTGTTCATTCCTTACCCTTGAACTCTATTACGATGACACCCTTTTTGTTGTCGGGACATGTACTCCCGTTATAACTTGCTGTGTTTCTGTCAGGCTAAGAACAATTGATGCGGTTATAATTACACATTCTCATGCTGATGCAATCGGAGGTCTCTGGCACAATCATCTTGTAAAACTTTTTTTTCATGAAGGGACCAAGTTAAATCATGATGCCCAACCATTACTTTCTTGTTCCTTGTTTCTTTCTCCTCTAGGCTGTGTATTGTTTGTTTGTCTTTATTGAACTGTTTCTCCATTGTTTTGTTTCTTGTTACAGGTCTTGATGATCTCCGTGATTGGACAAACAATGTCCAACCCCTCATTCCAATCTACACTGCTATGCGAGATTTCGAGGTTCCTGTTTGTGACACCCTCTTACTAAAAAAACACACTTTGGGGTCTCTTTTTTTTTTCGAATTGGGATTCTCAGTTGGTTTGGCCACTAAAACAACATTCTACAAATTGTAACATGAGAATATCAGGTGATGAAGAAGACTCATTATTACTTGGTTGATACAAGTGAGATCATACCCGGTGCTGCAGTCTCAGAGCTGCAATTCAATATCATACACGAGGAACAACCCTTTATCGCAAGTGATCTAAAGGTAATCTTACCCTTATAGTTTTTTTTATTCACATGTCCATTTTTTGTTCCAATGGATACAGACATGATTGCTTGATCATCAGGCAGTGATGGGCTATATGAACTAATGAGCTCAGTTATGCAATATCTGTTCATATTTATCAATATTCAAGCTTCGTGAGATGTTGAACATGAATGCATTTTTTTTTGTGATGTGGATGATTCAGATTACACCATTACCTGTGTGGCATGGCCGTGGTTACCGTTCTCTTGGTTTCCGGTTTGGTAATGTATGCTACATAAGGTAAACCACACTCTCTCTCTTTCTCTTAACCTCGCTAACTCCTGCCGTTTGTTAGTTCTTATGGTACTCCGACACTGCAGCGACGTTAGTGACATCCCTGAAGAAACTTACCCTCTTCTTCAAGATTGTGAACTTCTTATCATGGTAATCTCTCTCTCTCTCTCTCTCTCTCCCAACTCATATGCTGATCTTTTATGTGAGAAAGATAACTTCTTTCGCACGAAATATCTCTCTCTCTCTCTCTCACACCCAACTCCTATGCTGATCTTTCTGTGAGAAAAAAGATAACTTCTTCACGAGATATCTCTCTCTTTCTCTGTGTAGGATGCTCTGAGGCCTGATCGTTCTTCATCAACACACTTTGGCCTTCCAAGGGTATCCCCACACTTGAGATTCTTTATTTTATCATTCTTTAAATAGAAAGTCTCGGACTTTGCCACAAAGGAAAATGATATTTTGACCGTACACTTCAATTCATGGTCAACGGCTATAAAAATGCCAGGAATTTTTCAATTCGGAAGAAGTTTACAAAAGATTGAAAAGGGTTCACTCGTTTAGGGAATAAATTCTGTGGACAAATTGCAAATAATGCATAAATTTAGGGTTCTTTTTCTAATTAGTCGAATTCTTTTGCCTCCAGGCGTTAGAGGAAGTACGGAGAATCAAACCAAGAAGAACTCTGTTCACAGGTAATGATGAATTTTTTACCCTCCCCCTCTCTCTCTCTTCAACCTTGAAAACATTACATCAAAATCGCAATTATAGATTTGAAATTCTCGTAACATTTCTTCTCATTAAGGGATGATGCATTTGATGGATCACGAGAAGGTTAACGAAGAACTCGAAAAACTCGCAGCCACGGAAGGTATCGATGTTCAATTGAGCTACGACGGCCTTCGTGTACCGATCTCTCTATAACCGGTTCAAACACACTTCATACCGGGGGAGTTTCATTTTTTTTTGTACCGGTTTATAGAATGACAGCATTCTTTCACCACAAAAGTGGGTTTATGAGAACCGGGTCAATTCATGGTCTTTGATAACCGGGTTTCGAGAACCGATTTGGTTATGTTTGATAGTGGGTAGAGATAGGGCTGGCACGGATCGAATATCCGTAATTTTGGGATACTCGATTGCAAACCCGTGTTTCCCGGGTTTTGAATTCGTACCTGTTTTATTCGGAATCTGCGTAAATATCCGGGCGTTACGGGTAGTCAAATTCGGTCGATGGAAACGAAGGACCGAGGCGAGGGAAGAGTGAGATGTGGTATCCGAGATTCGGAGGCCTCGATCAAACCCTAATTCCAGTATCTAGAATACGGATTTTTGAGATTCAATGTTCGAAATCGAATCTAAAAATCGATTTTTGACCGTCGTCAAATCAGTAATCGATTTTTTAGATATACATTTAACAGAAGGTGGGGGGGGGGGGAAAAAGACCAGAAACGGAAGACATGGAAACGGCTGTCCGAAAGGCTGTCTGCCTGCTAAGTCGCTGTTGACTAAAAAAAAAACCAGTCGCATGGCTACTTGCTCAGCTATTATCCAATCATAGCCTGCCACGTGTGCGTGTCTGGTGTCTAGCACGGCTCCTCCCGACCCGTCGCTGTCACGGAAGGGTGAGGTGAGATTCCCCCTCCCTCTTCCTAGAAAATATGTTAGGGATATTAAATTTAAAAAATTGATTTTAAAAAAATTCTAGTGAATTTCCTGGGTTGAATTTTTTTTTGTGTAATGTTTTAAAATACTTAAAGATTAATTATTTCCTTAGTTTGGCCTAAATCAACCAAGCCAAGCTTAATTTCAAATTGATTTTTACAACTGTGAAACATGGGGAAATTGTTGAATATAATATACTTGTTTTAAAAAACAAATTGTAGGTTCCTTTTCGTTATGAGTTGATTACAATTGCAAAATATTCAGAATTATGAACAATAGAAGTCTGAAAGCGACATGGGAAGACGACTAGGCGGTCAGCAGAAAGAGAAAAGCAGAAGAAAGTTAGGTGCGATGTTTACAATAATAATAATAATAATTATTATTATTTTATATTAATTATATTGCATTGAGTTTTCTAAAGATGCGGGACCCGGTGTTGTCTGCTATACTCCGCTCGTGAACTCCTGACGACTATTCTCAACGTATTATTTGGTTTTCCTTTATTTATATATATATATATATTTTACAGATATTCAAGTACATATTTGTTGCCTCATTCATTCTTTTTGTGGGAATTTGAATTACAAGAATATGTCGTGTCATTTGAAATCTACACTTTTTTTTCTTCCTTTACAAATTATATATTTATATAATTTTTTTGACAAAAATATTGTTACTTTATTATCTAATTTCAATATAGATTTCAAATGACATGACATATTTGTCATAGTTTACCAATTACTCTGCATGCTCAAACATCTTTTGTGTGTTCAGCGACATGGAATTAGAAGCTAATATTTAACTAAAAGCTTCCTTAATATCACATTCCAAAAATAAAAACTTTGTTAATATGTGCTCTAAATGTTGTTGTTGACATGGACAGATGATAAGCAAAATTGAACAAAACAATATTCAATTATATATGAATTAAATATGATACAATTAATTAACTATGGTTTTTAATTAATTTAACTAAATCTTGTATAAAATAACTGAAAAAACAAGTAATTTTTTTTAGTAATGATGATTTTTAATACAAAAATATCGGGTTTAAACTGTTGAAACAAAACACAAATTCAATAAAAAATCGATCGAAGAAAAAAATCCACGTAAAAATCGAAGAGATGTTTAAAAGAATAAATAAAAAAATAATCCAACCCAGAATTTTGAATATAAGAGAGGAAGTACGTGGTGTTGCATATAGGGAATAGTATGGGACAAAATAACTTTAAAAAAGGCTAAATAATTGAGGAATAAAACAAGAACAAGACAAAACAAAAATATAAAGAATATATTTTATTTTTTCAAATTTTAAAAATATATTATTTTGACATTCAGATATACGAACATGCAGAATTTTATATCTAAACCTATAATTGTGACATTTTTTTCCTTTCCTTTTTTGAACATCACATAACATTACAATATGGCCTTATTGTTTTCATTTTACCATTTTGATTCGTATTTATCCTTGTCCACAATATTTCGTAAAAGTTTATATAATAGTTATAATCTAAGGTATGTTTCTCGATGCTTGCGTGCCACCAAATGGAATGTCTCTTAGTCTCTATATGACTATGTGAGTAGACATTTATGAAATTTCGTGTATTATGATTTATACATTTTTTTTCTATTTTCCATAATTAATATTTGGCTTAAAAAATATATATCGATTAAAGTATATGTTTTGGAATCATTCCATTACATCCAAATTTCAAATTTTAGACAAAAAATCACACACCCATATATATATAATCTATATCTAGTTCGAATATTTAGACTTTTTTTTCCAATGAAATGGAAGCTTTAATTAACATTTTGTTTTTGGAGATTAATTCATATAATTAAACACAATTATTGGATGGTTGAATTTCAATTGATTTATCAATATATCCAATTTTTTTAAAGGGCCAAACATTTATTTTTCTTCGTTTTTTTTTGTTGTGTGCGCCAATGCGGCTACTGCAATAATTAAGGAGTCAAATTTCTGGTAAAGAAGCAGATGGTCCTTCTATCTTACGAGTCAACTGTTTTTTTTTTTTTTTATAACCGGGTAATCCTAGACCCAAAATCTTTAATGCGTATCTTGGTTCATGCTAATCAATTTAATTTTAAATTGAGATTGTGTTAAATTAGTGATGTAGTTTATTCTTTTTGTTATATATATATATATATATATATACGAGTTATAAAAAATGATTGAGATTGGAGGTTTTGAAATACGGAAGAATTTTCTCAAATAGAAGAAATTTAATTTTTTTAAATTTTGTTCATGAAATAATCTCGCAGTTTCTATAAATGATGCATATTTGTAACATAGTACGCATTTGTATTGAGTGCTTGCTTGCTTGTGTTCGTTATTTGATATATAGCAAATTTAAATATTAAAATGGGAAATTTGTGAAATGATTCTATCCAATGGCTATATGTAGATCATCATAGAATCATAGATAGGGGGTTATTAGGGCAAGGTGGCACTGAAATATGATTAATTGATGGAATTTCCACTTTCCCATTTCTTTTTGTTTTAAAAAAAAACGTAAAGAGAGAAAAAAGGTAAACTTTTAAGGGAATATTATATGCCCAAACCTCTTTCTCAAATTAATCAATGGCTCAATCATGTCCTAGTAACTCTAAATTAGGGTCAAGATGTAACATTCACACACACACGCGCATGCATATATCAGTATATATGTACGTAGGAGTGTGTATATATATATATATAATATGATTTTAGTATTGAAATAATAAAAGGTCAAGAATATTAACTAAAAAAATAGTTCTACGCCTTTGATATTATATTAAAACATAAAATATAGATAATAAATATAAAAGAATGAAAAAAGAATGACAATATTTTTATTACTACATGTATTCTTTTTTTATATTATAATAAAAATAATTTATATATTTATAGAAAAAAATTATTAAAAAAAATAAAAATTCCAAAAAAATAAATAAAATAAAATATAATTGACACGATATATACTTTATTATTAATTGATATTATTTTTTTAATTATTATCGATCATATATAATATTCTTAATTTGGTTCTATTTCAACATATGTAAAAAATTTCACGGAAATATTAACAGGATTATATACGCAAAGAAATTCAAACAAGATACGTATGATATTTGTATTTTTACACTAACTCTATTCTTTATATAAGAATTTTTGTGAATTTTATTTTTTATTACTCCTAGGCCGAGAGAGCACTGAGCAAATTCAAACATGACGTATTTTTTTTGCATCCCTCTCTCCCTCTCTCCAGAAACGTACGATATATCCAATGATCTCTTTTTCTGCAAGCTTTTCACAGAACAGCGAGAAAGTATATTTACCTTTTTGCCACCTTGCTCTGTACAAACAGTTCGGAAAATAAAAAAATTACGGGTTTTAATTTTAAAATCAAGGAGAGAAAAAAGGAAAATACAATTAAAAAAAAGATTTGATGGTGATAAAGAAAGCACAGATTTTTCTCCCGGTGGCTCTTGCCTCTTGTGCAAGAACAACATTAAAGAGAGTTTAAAAAAAAAAAAATTGCCGACGTCAGAAGAGTTCTTCCTTAGCGGTAGGGTTCTCTCTTTTTTCTTTTCTTTTTCAGTTTATGAGTTTCAGATATCACACCAGAGAGAAGATAACAGAGTTTCTCTCGTCCACAATCTCTCTCTCTCTCCCCCCCTCGGCTCCGAGGTATGTTTTCTTGTTTTGTCTTTCTTTTCTTGTTCGTATGTTCCGTTCGTTCTTGTTGGATTTTCTTGGTGGGTTTTTTGTTTTCTCTTTTTTTTTTTTTGAAGTCTAATAGTAAGCCATCAAGTATCAGCAAATACAGATTCTTTGTTCACTTTCGAACATGATCAAGAGAGAAGTGGATGGAGGGAATCTGGTTTTTAGATTCATTTGACAACAAAGAGGTTGTCTTTTCGGGTTGTCTCTTGGGTTGAAGCCAAGGAGAGAGTAATCAATATGCAATTCAAGTATATACATATATCGGCATCTATAATACATACATATATGGTATTTGTGACGGTGATGATGATAATTATGAGTTCAATTCTTGTATTTTTCCTTCGCTTGATATATACCTTCTCTTTGGCTTCTTTCATCGCTTTTTTTTTTTTTGTATAGTCTTTGTACATATGCAGACATTACATATCTGTAGCTACAATTGTATACATAGATCTGAAAAAAAAGTGTTTTTCTATCTGTATCTTTCTTGTTTTCAAGGTTTTTGTCGAGAGAGGATGATGATGATGAACAAAGACATGTTGTTTCATCATCAACAGCAGCAGCAGCAGCAGCAAGTGATTGCAGAGGAGAACATGTCGAATCTTACATCTGCATCTGGGGATCAAGCCAGTGTGTCTTCAGGCAACAGAAGTGAAGCAAGTGGGTCAAACTTTGTCATCAATCCTCAACAGCAACAGTATTTTGTTCTACAACCAGAAGCTCAAACATCTCAGCCGCCAAAGAAGAAGAGGAACCAACCAGGCAATCCAGGTTCATATGAGAAAAACAAAATCTCATCTTTCTCCCTTTTTTGGTGGTTTTGCATTGCACCGACTTATTTCAATTCAATTATTTGATAAATACTGTATTCGTCTTTGAAATTAACGATCTCGAAGACGAGTGCAGGATTGCCTTTTTTATTAAAAAAACAACAACTTTCTTTTCCCCCTTGTCCTTGTCTTTTGTGCGTTTGTTTCTTTCAGTAAAATAAGCAAACCCATATGAAAAATCAGAATAAAAATCTGAACTTTATGGGTATTTCGTGGAGATTATCGAATTTTCTGACATGGGTGTGATTGGATTGCGGGAAAACGCCAGACCCAGATGCAGAAGTGATAGCATTGTCACCGGGGACGCTTCAGGCGAGAAACAGGTTCATATGCGAGATCTGCAGCAAAGGGTTCCAAAGAGATCAGAACCTGCAACTGCACAGGAGAGGACACAACCTGCCATGGAAGCTGAAACAAAGATCGAAGACAGAAGCGATCAGGAAGAAAGTGTACGTATGTCCGGAGCCGAGCTGCGTCCATCACGACCCGTCGAGAGCCCTGGGGGATCTAACAGGGATCAAGAAGCATTTCAGCAG